AAAGTTCAAACACACACTGACTCTCCTTGACCCTTAATACTATTAATAGCACAAACAGTCAGATCACGAGTCCAATCAATGTGTTCTCCTCCTGTGGGAAGCCAGCTGAAGGTGGCTATCACCACTACAGTAGTGACGTGAGTTATACACCAGGACAKCAGAAGGCCCTGTCTCTGCTGGAATTCCACTAGGAAAAATACAGTCCAGCAAGTAACAAAAAAGAGATGTCAATTTTTAACAGAATCTTCCCCAGAAAAATATAAGCTGTAAAATTAAGAGGTAACATTTTTTACAAAATGTTTACATGGTGACATTTTTACAAATTCTTTTCCCTTCTTCTCTCTAACCGAGTCAAATGCCTGCTTCTTTTACCAAAGATGCTCTGGAATCACACTAGCTATTTAAATTTATAAATTGATTTAAAGAAACGAATTAAAATTAAATGATGAAGAATTTAGCTTGGGGCTAGGGATGTGGCTCAAGCGGTATCGCGCTCGCCTGGCATGCATGCWGCACAGGTTCGATCCTCAGCACCACATACAAAGATGTTGTGTCCACCGAGAACTAAAATATATATATATATATAAATTTAAAAAAAAAAGAATTTAGCTTTTTAGTTACACTAGCCACCTCTCAAGTGCTCAGTTACCACCTGTGGTTAGTTTCTTCCTTATTGGACAGCACAGGTCTAGAGCATGTCCACCCACTGTGGAGAGTTCTATTGGACAGTGCTCATCTAGACAGAGCCTTTCTTTGGCAAAACTTTAAAATTCTCCCCAAAACATAAAATCATCCGGTGTTTCCCTCTCTCACCCTGACACCCCTCAAGGATGGCTTTCTTCCTCAAATCCGTTTAGTCTCTCCATTGTTTCATTTTTCCTCATTTAGTCAATTCCCAGATTCCCCATAACAAGGTTACTGAGGAAACTGATATAGACATATGCATTCTCTTAGGTAAGGATTTTTCTCAACTCTTTGATTTTTTTATATAGAAAATCTCTCTAGAGATCACTGGGAGGAGCTATTATCAATAAGCATACTTTAGGTAAAAAAGAAAAAAGAAAGAAAGAAAGAACGTCTCTCTAGAAATCCAAATGTTTTCTAAGAGGTCTGTGCAGAATAATGCACACATCAATAAATCCAGTCCCTGCCCGCTGTGAATCATGGTAGCCACATGGTTTAAACAGAGTGGCCTGGGCTTCTCACTTCTAGCATAGGTGTGGGGAGGTAAAAATTACTCACTGAGCTTGCATCAAAAAGTAGGTGTTGTCACTAAATAGAAATGCACTGATGACTCAAATATGCACTGATGACTCTCCAAATTACAGTGAGTTGTTAGGGGATTCAYRTGTTGGTCATTTAGCTTTTTAACTCTCAAATGCATTCTACATCCTTTTCCTGCAAACCTTGCCAACTGGCTGCCAGCCAAGTTTGCCCAATGGAAGACACTTATGGGAGATGAGAGAGCAGGGAAATGAGAGATGCCCAAGTAGCCCCACTTGCCTTGGAGGCATTTTCAACCCTATCAGCTTCTTTTCTATCTTTCTCCCTCCCAAGGATCCAGCTTCTGCTAGACGACTAGCTGTTGGGTTCAGGTATGACCAACCCCTCATTTTGCSCCTCTTGTCCAGAAGTGTGCTGGTACATCTTTAACAACAGGCTCCCTGTGAGCGGGAAATGAAGGACTGACTGAAATGTTTGACAATACCTGTGGTATACRTATACCCTGGCTTGCAAAATTCCTGAATATGTAAAAATGGATCTCAGGAGACTTTAGGAGCTGGCTCCAGTATAATTACTGATTCTCCCCTAAACAAAATAATGGCTTCCTGTTTTAAGTTTCAACTCTTGTTGCTAGTTGCCTGAATTAAATTCTTTCTAAGAGATACCAGTTATAGGCTCTGTTTTCCTGACTAACTGAACATACATCCTTAAGAGAATAAAAATTACTAGGAAAGTTTTTTCTCAAAGTATCAGAATATAAATCAGCCATATGACAAGAGTATTCGGAAAATTAAGCTGATGTTACAGATTAAAAAGAATAAGACTTCCTACACAAAGGAAGCAGTGAACCATTTTACATTTTAGAATAAGTTTCTATTTTATTGTGAAATTTTTGGATGGGTAGTTGCCTGTAGATCACACTTTGGGTAATGCTGAAATAGGGTACTTAGAAAAAACAATTTGGCGATGTGTATCAAAAGCCTTAAARGTGTTCTATCTTTTATCCTACCAGTTGTACTTTGATAGAATCTCTTGTAGGAACTCGTCCAAAAAGAAGGGAAAAGTCTTATGCACAAAGATGTTCACAGCAGTATTAGTGAAAATCAGATATTTTTKAAAGCAATTTTTTAAAGTGAAAAATAGGAAAATAAGTCAATATGTGTAATGGAATACTATGAACTTTAAGCTTTACAATTATAAATATTGTACTAATATATAAAACACATATATTATTAGAAATAAAAGAAGGAAAGAAAATTTTATATGCAAAAGAATCATAGGATAATATATATGTTGGAAGGAAAAAACTGAAAAGTAACGGTCAAATTACGTAGTAAAGAAAGCATTAGAAGACAAATTACTTTCCCTAATGTTCAAAGAGTGACCTTTTTTCTATTGTGAGCATTGCATTTAGTTTTGTTAAATTAAAATTAAAAAACAATATCCACCAACAAAGTCAATGAGAATACTTAGAAGGGGAAATAGATATTACATATTAAGATACCTTGTGGATTCTGCTTTTGTTTAAAATATAAACCAGGATAAGCCTGGAGTTATATTAAGATTAAAAATCTGCCTGTCATTGATTCTGCATGCACATTGCCTCCTTACCTGAATTTCATTTGCTCACCAACAGCTATCAAAACTCACTTTCAGAGATGTGGCTGATATGTATAGATAAATGTGCTGCCTCTTGAGTGGAGTGTTTTGATCCTTCTTTCTATCATAGTTAGAGTGACCCTTATAAGCAGGGGAGAGACGTATTGAAGGCTTGAAGAGCTGTTCCCGAGGGATCCATCTACTCTGGCTCTGCTCAGAATGGTTCAAACCCCTTATCCAAACTCCACAGAGTGCTTGGTTTCCTGAGGAAGGGTAACAAGAGTCCTCTGCTATACCCTCTTCCCCTGATTGCCCCATCTATCTCAGACCAGATCCTTAAAACCACTGCTGATTTAAACCAAGTACCTAGAGGCAACATCCAATGTGTTTAAATACACAAATGAAACCCAACAGMAGAACTGAACCTGCAATATTGCCACACAAACCATCAAAGACTAAACACCATAAGCACAAAATAATAAAAATATGACTTCTTGAAACTCAACTTCCAGGGCTTAAATATTAGGTTTTCCACTTAGAAGCAGAATGGTCTTGAGCAAATCCTTAATCTTTCTCTCAGTTTTCTCATCTGTAAACTGTGGAAAAATATCTTACAGGATTGTTGTGAGGACTAAATCACACATACAACATTTAGAAAAATTACAGGTACTTGATAAGCATTTGACAACATTTAATGAATATTATTTTAAAATTTCTACTCTAAAAAAGAAATATTGTGTGATGTGTCCTAGGTGGGGCAGTCCTTCCTGCTCTTCCCCAGAGCCACCAGGTCTATATAAGCATTAATCAGAGAAGCATCCACCGAATACAGCACAGTTGATAGAACCCCACTGCATTTCCCATAGCTTTTGTCCATTGGGTCCTGATGGGTCGGAATCTACATAGCCAAAAAAAAAAAAAAAAAAAAAAAAAAACTTACCAAAATAAACTGGAAATAAGATACCAAGTCATCTCTTGACAATTTGGGAGCCCATTATAATACCCTGGCATTCACACCATTACCCAAGTAAGCTGTTCAGCACAAGCACAGCAAGGAGTGTGTATTAAGACATACTCTGACTGGGTATCCTACTGGTGAGTCTTTGAGATTGTCTGAACGTGATCTTCCCACCTTCCAAAGCCAGTTAAAACTGCTGGCTAGTGGCATGAATTTGTAGGCACCCAGCTCCCACTTCTGCCACCCAAATCTCTCTACTCATGATTTCCATAGGTAGTATTCCTCTCTCCCCATTTCCCCAAAACTGAGCCCTAWCAACCCTTAGGGCTTAGAAGGAATCACTCCTTCAGTCCTAAGAATGGTCCTAAGGACCATCACCATTTTTGAGTTTCCATATGGCTCTCATGAATGCCTGGTTTTAGATCAGCAATCCTCTTTAGAACTTACGTTTCTCCATAGACCTGATTCATCCTCATAGGTCCCCTCCTGCTATCCTTCTTATGCTAGATCAGAGGACTAAGCACTGGTCTTGGTCATTAGTCTTCATCCTTAACAGCTACCCCTGGACAGCAAGTGCTCCAGCCTAGATCTYGGGACCAGAGCTTGTCCCCTGTCCCAACTGCAGATTAGTAACAAGGACTGACCTGCTCATTACCAGTCCTCCTAGTTCCCTCTCTCAATTCAGGTCCTACAGAAAAACCAAACCAAGCCAAACACAACCATTTACTGTGCTAATTTCATCTGAGTAGTCATTTCTCTACCAATGCCCCGAATTTGTTTCCTCAGAGCTACCATTCCCAGAATTATAATTAAATCTAATCTAAATTCTGCCTTGGCCACAAGCCTTTATCTCTGRAACCAATTTTTAGAACATCAACTTTCTCATCCTAGCCCAGACGGGGGGCTGTTTCTGACCCACCAGCTGCCAATGACCATTTGCCAACGACTAGGCCCAAGACAAAGAATGTTATATCTTGATAATTGGTGGAACACTCTAAAAGTATTAGGTTCACGACTTAAGGGTGAATGTCCCAAATACCCACACTACCAAAACAGCTACATCAAAACATCATGATAKAAACAGAAACAAAATTGTTTTCATTTGTAAGAATTTTTCCCTCTTATCAAAATACACAACTTTGAGACAGAAAATGTCAAAAAAAAATTGCTTTGAGTCAATCATCCAGCTGTTTCTGTCTGTTTGGTTGGACACGCCTACCTCAAACCACTGCCCATGGCTCTGCATCTTGAGGATGACACAGGGGTCTGGTTTGGAAAGAGCATCTCTGTCAGAAATGCCTTTGCACGCCACACGCAGCTCCACTTTGGTCAGGCAGGGGCTGTTAAAGATTCCCAGCGTGTTGGCTGCTGACTCATAAATGTTGCTCATCTTCTTCATCCTGTTTCGGGCAAGAAAAAAGAAGAAAAAGTGTATGTGCCAATCACTGCTATGTTTCCAGAGAAGAAACCCTCCCCATCGCCATTTAGAAAATTTTCAACAMACAGTTTTAAGGACTGAAGGTATTTATTATCTCACTTTCCAAAGGAGTGGCACAGTGTCAGTGAAACAAAAAAAAAAAAAATAAAACAAACAAACAAACAAACAAGTAAACCCAAAAAATAAAACTCAGATGAGGGCACACTTGGCTAAGGAACCTATTTTCCTGAACGATTTGCATAGATTTGCATAGTAAAACTTTCAGTCTGTGATATAAAATTAATGAATTCGTGCAATAGACTTCGAACTATAATACAATTCTATATTAAGTCGATGGCTTATATGAAATTTTACAGATCTGTTGTCTAATCAGTTTAATCAAGTTTTTATGACTCCCTAAAAATTCAACTCTCTTCTTATGTGATAAAACAGAGAAGCATATTGTCTTACCTGAAAAAAAACAAAAACAAAAACAGTTCAAATTTCCCACCCCTAACTCTTGGCCTACCTTGTCAGGAAGCCCTCAGCGTGCCAGACGCAAGAGAGGTCCCACATTTGATTTCCCACCCCAAGTGCCTAACTTCATTCTCACCTTTCCCTTTAAGGTTCTAACTTGACACATCAGGACTCAGAATCAGAAGGGAGCAATAAGGTGAGACGAAAAAACTTGAAGACTCTGATTCTGAACTTGGAAGCAGCAGCCACAGATAAACACTGGAGGCTCCCTGCCCACCTCACATGATACAATTTACAATAACATTTGGCTTATCTAAGGCCTGACAGGGCCACAGGGATCCACCAGAGTTCACGAATGCTGTCCTCCTCTCCCAAGAGAACAAGACCTGTAAGAAAAYTGGAAGGACCCCTCAGGAGTAAAATTCAATATCCTTCTCCTGAAATTCTATATCTGTGTAGATTCATTAGGAAAATCATCAGTGACTTTCTCAACCTCACACCGCATTTGTTTTAGTGAGCCTTTGTGTTGCTGTGACCAAAATACCTGAAAGAACAACTTAGAGAGGAGAAAATTTATTTGGGGCTTGGAGTTTCAGAGGTCTCCATCTACAGATGTCRGACTCCTTTGCTTGGAGCCCATGGTGAAGCAGGGCACTACAGAGGAAAGGCCCAGTGTTGGAAAACTGCTTAGCTCTTGGGCGACAGGGGTCAGAAAATGTGTGTGTGTTGGGGGTGTGGGGCAGACACAGGGAAGATGCATCATTTCAGGGCAAGCCTTCAGTGACCCACCTCCTCCAGTCTGCTCCACTTGCCTAGGGTAACCACCTAGCCATTTAAATTTGGCCAGACTGATTATTTTACAGCTCTCCCAATCTAATCACTTTACCTAGGAACATCCCAGCATTGACACAGGAGCTTTGGGGGGAAATACCTCATATCCCAATCATAACAACATTTGTGGTTTAGAGACTAATTATTTTGTCTAAAGGCTATATATGACAAACCCAAAGCCAACATCATGGTGAATGGGGGAAAAACTGAAAGCCTTTCCTTCAAAATCTGGAACAAGACAAGGATGCCCATTCTCACTACTCTTATTCAATATAGTTTTGAAAATTTTAGTCAGAGCAATTAGGTAAGAGGAAATAAAAGGAAGAAGTTGAATTATCAGTTTATGGATGATATAATCCTTAGTTAGAAGATTCARAAAGCTCCACTAGAAGACTACTGTAGCTAATAAACAAAATTGCAAGTTACAAAATTAAGAAACAAAGATCAATAGCTTTTCTACACCAATAATGAATTTGCTAAGAAAGAAATAAGGG